GAATACTTTTAAAGTTCAATAGTATAAATTTAACTTGTTTTTAGCTCATTATTTCAAATAATGTTAATAGTGTAATAACCAAACATTAAACATACATAGTACATATGAGAAAGGACCTTAGAAATCATCTTATCCAATCTCCAGTGCCATATTTCCTTCTACAGTGTTCTGACAAATAGTCCAACCTGCTGAGCCATTCAGTTCACTCTTTTGTAAGACAACCCATTGAAATGTTGAATGGTTCCTGTTTCTAGTTTTTCTTAATCTTGAGATAAAATCCACATCTTTATGATTCAAACATATTGATTATATGTTTTTTCTTCTGTATGCCAAACCTTCAAACATTTGAAGATTGCTAATTGCATTGGCTAATTGTTGGATTAAACTTGCCAGGTTTTCCCTTCATTCTTCATGTTATATGCTGGGTACCCTTACAAATGTTCAGTATTTTTTTAGAGTTTCCTGTCAATGTGACATACAGCTTAGGATACTACCTGGATGATATCATTATATATGGTATACTCTGTCTTCACTAGCATTGTATGCTAGGTGAGACAGGTATATATATTTGTACATTGTGTATAGTATATATATGCTTAAATACTGAAGTAATTTTAGATGTAATATTTCAGTTAATTAAGGTTTTTTTTGCAATTAGAATGACAGTTGTGAATGGTTTTCTCTTCTTGAACCAATCTCAGAATATGACTAACTGAAGTTGTCGTGTGTTTTCAAGGATAATTTAAATGAACATGGGGTTTGTGAAAATCTGACAGATCCTAACTCTAACTCAGCTAGTGGGCAACATTATAATTTATTTATAGCTATGCAGTGTAGTTATTAATGAACTAATGTAGAGTGAGGGCAAATTGTACTATATTTTTTGTGAAATTATACTACATGACAGAGGTTGGTATTATGTAATAAGTACCCACAAAATATTAACCTACTTGCAATAAATACAATTAATAATGTACATAAAAGAATGGAATTAAGCTAATTTTCTATCAGAACAGAATTATTCATGAACAGGAAGTGGACAGCATAGATTTGATGACAGGAAGGTTGTATCTAATCTGAATTACTGAGTGACCTAGGAAGCTTGCTCACAGGGATTACAGAATAATTATGTTAATATGCAATTATCACCTCATTTCTTCTGTAGTAACCTCAAGATGTAGTGTGGTGAGGGTGTTATAGCAAGTGCTGATAGTTTGCAAAAATACTGATGTTTGAGATTTCTGAGACAATAAGTCTAGCTTGAGGCATATAAGTGATGATGTCATCTTGAAGACAGATCTGACCTTTGTACTTTTTTTTAATGCTCACAGTATATAACTACAGGCAGTTATAGCTGTAGAACTCATTATGATTTTCCAGAACCTGAAATATGTTTTATGTAGATTTAAAATTCCATTTGCAGCTTTTTATAAAGTATGTGAATTTTTTTAAAGAACATTTTAAAATTCAGTTAATAGAAAAATTGTGGTTATACGATTACATGGAGGAGGACACAGTGATAGTATCTAAACATTTAATAAAAAGATCCTAAGTGATACAGCAATTTCATTGAAATTTAGAGAGGCCAAACAATATGACATTAATTTATTTTAATTCATTAGTTTCTCCTTTTTAAACTTAATGAATAATGCCTACCTTCAAATATGCCCCTTCCTTTGTTATATTAACGTAACCTAGTATTTATGACTCTTTTATATATATTTAACTATATAAAGGTGGTTGAAAAACTGTTTGAGACAGTGTGAAATTAACTTATAGGTCAAATGCTTTCTTGCCTGGATACTCCATAAGCGTCCTGAATGTAGGGAAATAATTTTTGATGTCAAAATTCTGGGTCAGTGCAACACATTTTGATGATCCATTGTTCTATATTGTATCTCAGTGCAATAGCTCTGAGTCTTGAATACTGTTAAGAAAAAATGTATCTTGAACACTTTCATTTACAGAAATATATTCTGAAAATTAAGCCAGGAGAATTTTTTATTGTTGCTAAAATACTAGCTTACTGATTCAGCCTCTTGTAGCATATTTTTAAACTGATGCAGTATATTTTTAATATTAATGTGCTAATAAAAAATTTTTCTGAAAAAGAATAACTCCTCTATTTTTGAGCAGAGATAGTCAATTTGGAGGCAAGTAAGGTGTATTTCACTATGTAGATGTAAAGGAAAACTTTGACTGTTAAAGACCTCATTTTATATTTTCACAATATTTAATTTGATCTTCTGTTTTTCTTTTTACTACATGTGCTTTGTATATTTAAAAATCTGTTATTCTTTCTATGTTTTTGAGCAAAACCCTTTGATATCTTCAAACTTTGAACTTATGGAAGGCTCTTATAAAGCCATTCTGGTAATGAGGATGCAATCTCCAAGCTGACATGATATTCTCATAGTTTGTCACCCTGCTGTTCAGGGGGTACCAATGAAGTTGCTTTAAATGGGAAGCGTCTGTTCCATCTCTGAACCTCTAACACCAGAACAGATGGGTGGAACATGGAACATGGAAGGTTTTACCTCTGAGGTGGTAACAGTGAAGCCACTCATTAACACTGAATTTACCACTTCGTTAGCAACGTTGCTTCCTGTTGAGAAAAGCTAATATAGGCTTTCAGATTGAGCGTATATTTGTCTACCTCTGTGAATATAAGTAGGAAAAGAAAGTAAATGTCTTTCAGGCTAGCTTTTTTTAAAAAATCTGTCATTCATTTCTGATTTATGAGGTTGTTCCTATTTGGGCATTTTACTTTTTCTACCTAACTTAATTAGAAATGTCAGGAACGGGTAATAGTATAGCATCAAGGTTTGCTTTTCTTTTCATTGACGTTTGCACACTCCTTCCTAACACATGTTTATGTGATGCCCATTTTTAACTTCTCTGTATGTGATGTAGAGACTCCTGCTGGGTGCTGCATTAGCACCATTTTGGAGTGATATCATTGAATATGATGTTATTTGAAGTCTATTTTTATTTCTGTAGAAATTTGCCAATCTCAAAACAGAATTCTAAGACCTATGACGGGCAGAAAAATAATTGTTGGTATAAATAATAATGCCAAAGAAGGATATTTATAATATTTACTTGTAATATTTGTTGTATCAAGGAACACACTTGTGGAAAGAATAAGATCATATTTAAAAGTGCTGCTCTGAGTTGTGAAATAAGAAGAAAATAATTAGAAGCAATTCTTTTATTCTTTAACTGGATTTAATGTTTTACAAAGTATGTACTTGGTACCATAAAAGATACTAGAAATAATGAACTTTATTGCAAATGTTTTAATTTCTAAATAGCAATTGTAAATTCCTGCTGTTCTAAAATGATGTTACTTGTTATACAAATTTAAAATACTGTAAAAGAAAAATGGAAGACCTTATTCTTTATCTGAGAGCAGGAACTATGTCTGTCATGTTCCCTACTGAATCCCTGCTACTAGAGCAGTGCCTGGCACATAGAATGGGCTCAGTAAACATTTGGAGAATGAATAAACTGTACTTGATACTATGTACGAAAGGAAAAGAAATATGGAATTTTCTGTCAGTACTTCGAATAATTAAATACATGGGGTTGCCAAATAGCGGGTTCTTTAAATCACACTCGAGGATTATTGGATATTTTGAAGGCGTTGCTAAAACTGCTGAGTTAAGAAATCAGAACCATGATGGAATTTGCATTATTTGAATGAGATATCCGAATTTCACAGGAAGAAAACTGTTTTTCTTCTTATACTTTAGGAACTTTTGTTTTGATTTTGCAGTTGTGTTTGTGTTTTTATTCATTCACCGCATTAGTCCTTTATTCAACAAATGTTGCCTGAGCACTTATGCCAAGCATCCTGTTAGGTTTAGAGGTATGAAGGTGACTAGGTCACTATCCCTGCCCTCAAAGAGCTTACATTCTTCCAAGAAGATAGGCAACTCCTGTATAATGTGGCCATTTCTAAGAGCAAACTAAGAACAGGGTACAAGGAAACTCTTCATAGTAGGGGCAATAATTATAGCCATGGTATGTATGTCTTCCAAACTTTCAGAAGTGTCCTTTCCTTTTAAAATATCCTGCTGTCTTCTCATAATGATTAAATATATTATAAAAAATGCCTAGAAAAATATTGTCCACATTTTATATGAAATAAACTAAAAACTTAACAGACATTTATGATGTTTCAGAGTAGAGTAAAAATTTTTAGGTTATTGCAGTAGACTGTCAGATCATAAATAGGATAACTGCCTGTAGGGAATGCCTAGAATTTGGGGTTCAAGATTATGAAAGTTTAAAGAGACATGGAACTTCATTAATTTTAACTTTACTAATTTAGAATGAAGGATATTTTATATAAGCAATGAATGAAACCCAGTGAATGAGACATTTCTTAAATTAGCCGAATTTTAGGAGAATGTGAAACACTGAGAGCAAAGCAGTCTTATTTTAAATAAAAAATGCTGTTTCATACGTTAGCCACTGATGTTGATAGCACATTGTACATTCAAGTAAGCTTCTCTACTGACTGGTATTTTGTTACCTTCCTCTGGGAATGGACTTTTAAGTGACAAAACTTTTACTTTTCTGCAATATTTAACAATTTACATTATTCTCTAGTGTAGAATGTCCCTTAATAAATCTACTTAAGTGAGATCATTTTCTTATTAGCAATCTGTATATGAGATTTTAGATTTTTTTCAGTCTGTAGCATATTCATTTATATTGTGTGTGTCTGTGTGTGTTTGTTTATGTTACTTTGCCCTACATTTTGTATATATGCAGTTTTGGGTTGTTACTTAGCACAAAGGAAAGATTAACCGCTGCAGCCCTTTAAAAATCTTTCAGTTTTTTTAAAGTGTTTCTTCATCCTTGAAAAATTACTGGGATCTTAGTATAAAAAGTAGAATTAAGCTACTAAAAATGTGTACTTTTAACTCTCCATACGTTCTAATAATATTCTTTCTTTCATGCAAATCTAAATTTTTTTTTCCATTTTCTAGACTAAATGTGTTAAATGGGCTTGCCAACAATATGGATGACTTGAAGATAAACACCGATATTACTGGTGCTAAAGAAGAACTCCTAGATGACAACAGTTTTATATCAGACAAAGAGAGTGGAGTTCATAAACCAAAAGATTGTCAAACATCATTTCAGAAAAACAATACATTCACTCTGCCTGAAGAACTGTCAAAGGACAAATCTGAAAAAGCCTTAAGTGGAGGCCAGTCTACTCTATTTATACATGCTGGTGCTCCTACTGTTTCTAGTGAAAACTTTATCTTGCCTAAAGGAGCTGCTGTTAATGGACCAGTTTCACACTCCTCCTTAACTAAGACTTCCAATATGAATAAAGGCAGTGTTTCATTAACCACTGGACAGCCTGTGGATCAGCCAACGACAGAATCTTGTTCAACTTTGAAGGTGGCAGCTGATCTTCAGCTCTCTACACCACAGAAAGCAAGTCAACACCAAGTTTTATTTTTGTTATCAGATGTAGCACATGCTAAGAATCCAACCCATTCCATTAAAAAACTACCTACCTCTGCTTCAATTGGTTGTGACATTCAGAATTCAGTAGGGAGTAATATAAAGTCAGATAGCACTTTAATAAATCAAGTAGAGGTGGGTGAGGATAATGAAGATTTATTGGTAAAAGATGATTGTGTCAGTACATTAACAGGAATTTCCTCAGGTACAGATGAATTTAGGTCAGAAAATGATACAAACTGGGACCCCCAAAAAGAGTTCATTCAGTTTCTTATGACGAATGAAGACACAGTGGATAAAGCTCCAGTTCACTCTAAAGTAGGTCTAGAAAAAAAGAGAAAGCGAAAAATGGATGTAAGCAAGATAACTCGTTATACTGAGGATTGCTTTAATGATTCTAACTGTGTACCCAATAAATCAAAAATGCTAGAAGTAGACTTTATGGAACAGAATGAAGAACTGCAAGCAGTAGACTCACAGAAATATACATTATCAAAAGTGAAACCTGAATCAACCGATGAAGACTTGGAATCTGTGGATACTTTTCAACATCTAATTTATAATCCAGATAAGTGCGGAGAAGACAGTTCACCTGTTCATACTGGCACTTTTCTTTCAAATACCTTAAAAAAGAAATGTGAAGAAAGTGATTCCGAGTCACCTGCTACTTTCAGCACCGAAGAGCCATCATTTTACCCCTGTACAAAGTGCAATGTGAATTTTAGGGAGAAAAAGCATCTCCACAGGCATATGATGTATCATTTAGATGGGAATAGTCACTTTCGACATCTTAACGTCCCAAGGCCATATGCTTGTAGAGAATGTGGACGGACATTTCGAGATCGGAACTCGCTACTAAAGCATATGATTATTCACCAAGAAAGAAGACAGAAATTGATGGAGGAAATTCGTGAATTGAAAGAACTTCAGGATGAAGGAAGAAGTGCACGATTACAATGCCCTCAGTGTGTGTTTGGTACCAATTGCCCTAAAACATTTGTGCAACATGCTAAAACCCATGAAAAAGATAAAAGGTACTACTGCTGTGAAGAGTGTAACTTTATGGCAGTGACAGAAAATGAATTGGAATGCCATCGAGGAATTGCCCATGGAGCAGTGGTAAAATGCCCTATTGTCAGTTCTGATGTAGCCCAGAGAAAAACGCAAAAAAAGACTTTCATGAAGGACCCCGTTATAGGATCATCAAAAAAATCAGCTACCTATATATGTAAGATGTGTCCTTTTACTACTTCAGCCAGGAGTATTTTAAAAAAACACATGGAGTACTTGCATTCATCATCATGCATTGATTCATTTGGCAGTCCTCTTGGACTTGATAAAAGAAAAAGCGACATAATCGAAGAACCTGTAGATACTGATAGTCCTAAACCATTAACTAAACAACAGTCAACAACATTTCCAAAGAACTCTGCTTTAAAACAAGATGTAAAGCGAACGTTTGGATCATCCTCACAATCAAGTAATTTTTCAAAATTCCATAAGCGGCCACACAGAATACAAAAAGCTCGGAAAAGCATTGCCCAGTCAGGTGTAAATGTGTGCAATCAAAACAATTCTCCTCACAAGACTGTTATGATTAAAAGCAGCATTGACCAAAAACCTAAGTATTTCCATCAGGCAGCAAAAGAAAAATCTAATGCCAAGGCAAATAGCAACTATTTATATAGACATAAATATGAAAACTACAGGATGATCAAAAAATCAGGTGAATCATATCCTCTGCATTTCAAAAAAGAGGAAGCTAGTTCGTTAAATTCTTTACATCTGTTTTCATCATCAAGTAATTCTCACAACAATAGTTTTATTTCAGACCCTCATAACTCTGATACCAAAAGGCCAGAAAGCTTCAGAGACCACAGGCGTGTAGCTGTAAAGAGAGTAGTTAAGGAATCTAAGAAGCAAAGTTCTGTTGGAGGAGAAGACTTGGATAGCTATCCAGATTTCTTGCATAAAATGACCGTTGTTGTTCTGCAAAAACTTAATTCTGCTGAAAAGAAAGATAGCTATGAAACAGAAGATGAAAGTTCCTGGGACAATGTTGAGCTAGGTGACTACACTACACAGACTATAGAAGATGAAACCTATAATGATATTAATCAAGAACATGTAAACCTATTCCCTCTATTTAAAAGCAAGGTGGAAGGTCAAGAGCCTGGAGAAAATGCTACACTTAGTTATGATCAAAACGATGGCTTTTATTTTGAATATTATGAAGATGCTGGAACTAATAACTTTTTGCATGAGATACATGATCCTCAGCATTTAGAAAATGCAGAAACTTCATTGTCAAAGCATAGTTCTGTTTTTCACTGGACTGATTTGTCTCTTGAGAAGAAATCGTGTCCTTACTGCCCAGCAACATTTGAAACAGGCGTTGGGTTGTCAAATCATGTCCGGGGACATCTTCACAGAGCAGGATTAAGCTATGAAGCCCGTCATGTTGTATCACCAGAACAAATAGCCACAAGTGACAAAATGCAACATTTCAAAAGAACTGGCACAGGAACACCTGTTAAGCGAGTTAGAAAAGGTAAGTTTTCTTGCATATAATTTGGGCTAATATGTCCATATTCGAATTCAAAGGATTTGAAGGTTTTGCTCAAATTTGGCCTTTATTAGAATCACATAATTTCATATTTCAGAGTTAATTTGTTTTAAGGTGGTCAATTTATTAAAAATTCTGATATTACTCTTAAATTTTTCTTTTAGCGATAGAGAAGTCTGAAACCACTTCTGAACACACTTGTCAGCTCTGTGGTGGTTGGTTTGATACTAAAATTGGATTATCAAATCACGTTAGAGGCCACCTGAAAAGACTTGGAAAGACCAAGTGGGATGCTCACAAATCTCCAATCTGTGTTCTGAATGAGATGATGCAAAATGAAGAAAAATATGAAAAAATCTTAAAGGCATTGAACAGTCGTCGTATTATTCCTAGACCATTTGTAGCTCAAAAACTTGCATCAAGTGATGATTTTCTATCTCAAAATGTTATACCTCTTGAAGCATACCGTAATGGCCTAAAGACTGAAGCTTTATCAGTGTCTGCATCAGAGGAAGAAGGGCTGAGTTTCTTAAATGAATATGATGAAACAAAGCCAGAACTGCCTAGTGGAAAAAAGAATCAGTCTCTTACACTGATAGAACTGCTTAAAAATAAAAGGATGGGAGAAGAAAAGAATTCTTCTATTTCTCCTCAAAAGATCCATAATCAAACTGCAAGAAAGAGATTTGTTCAGAAATGTGTTCTTCCACTAAATGAAGATAGTCCATTGATGTATCAACCACAAAAAATGGACTTCACTATGCACTCAGGTAAGAGGACATTTATGACTATCTTACATAATTTAAACACAGTTAATGTTTACCTTAGTGGAATATGTGTCAAAAATACTTTTTCAGAATCCTTTTATTTAAGCTGCTTTTTTGCAGAGCAGAGGTTGGTTATACTGTTATTTCTGTATAAATCATCAGTTGATGTTCATCAGCACTGAATTCTCTGTGCCTCATCTCTGGTCACAATGCAAGGTGAGAACAAAAGCAAAAACAAAAAGCTGATCTGTAAAAATAAAATTTGTCACGGACGGGGGATGGTTCTTTGGATGGGAGGTTGATGTTGTTTAGAAGCATAGTGTTACTAAAAAGCCTGTCATATTTTTGCCAGTGCTCCAAAGTGATACTATTTTCAAGATTTTAGTTGTCGGTTTTCCTACTGCTTGGGTAAAACGAAACAGACTCTTTAAACTGAATGGATTGGTGTCTGTTGTGTGTTGTGATTAACCCAAAGAAACTTCTCCCTCTCCAATTCCTCATTGTATTGTGGGATAGTTTGGTTTTGGAGGACTGTTGTGAGTAGAAAACATTTGTTTGGGGTTTTAGATTTTACTATAGTGTTCTAGTAGAACAAAACAGATGGTTTAGCTTAGTGGTTATGCACTCATAGTTTTTCCTTTTCAAAGGAATATTTTGTATGTATTGGCAAGTGATGTGGCAGATAAAAAGTTGCCATACTTTATTTGGTATTGCTAAGTCTGGTTTATACTTTTAGACTAGAGAAAGGTTGTGTCTGTATAGGTTTCTTTTGGAGGTTAAGAATGTTGAAGATAAATTTAGATGATCTCATAATTTTAGCAGTGGGTTGAATGTATCTAAGGTAAAAATAACTGGTCAATGGATTAATAATGAATAAAATTACTGTAATGCTGGTTTGTTTACTTTGGGCAGACACTGGGATATTCCAAATATTTGTAATGCAGTGTTGATTTGAGGAAAGACTGCCTTGTATTTTAAGTGGTCTGAAAAACAATTTATCTTGTATGGGCTTCTGGTTAATAGGGCTCTTTCTTTTGTACGAAGAGAGTCTTTCAAAGATAACTTTTCAGCATTTTTCAGAGAGACAGGAAGATGTGTCAGCTGTGTTGGCCAGGATATAGTACACTTCAGAGAGGGAAAGCATATTTGTGGCTATAACAGTAATGTTGAAGAAACCAATTGAAACATGTTGGGGGCGTGAGGGTTGTCTGAGAAGTTAGGAGTTTCTTATTGTTTCAGCATGTTTACTGTGATGACTAAGATGTTAGCTTGTTGATCATTTATTTAGCACAAAGATTTTAGCAAAATACTTCAGATCATTAACTTTCATTATTGATTGTGCATTCAGAGTAATGAACATAAAATGCCCTGAATAAAATGTTGTGTCTAACAGCTGTTCAGTGGTGTGTTTTACCACCTTTTCTCCCAGCCTTCATCAGAAAGGCTTTTTTTAGTATTGAGCCTTTTAAGGTTTTGTGGGTAAAACACTTTAATTACCACTTTGTCAACTAGACTTTTTAGTTTTTTTTTTTTATTGGTAATGTTGTAAACTTTGAAACTTCTCAACAGAACTGTGCTATTCAAATCATAGGATTGTATTTTAGGTTTAGGAAATGATCTGCGTAACACAGAAATCTGCAAGAAAGTGATAATAGGTATTAACTCCAGAGGAGCTCAGGGGTTCAAGACACTCCTCCTTCTACCTTTCCAAAGAGCATGGGTTGGCTCTAAATACTAACTACAGACTAATAATAGGTAACTTAATTTCCCCTCCTTATCTTAAGCTAATTCAATGAACGTTTTTTAAAACCATCTTTATTGTGGTACTTTTTTTCACGCTTTTACCTAAGAAAATTTCACTTTTTGAAGTGAGAACTGGATTATAGTTTTCTTTTGAATGATAGGTATGCCTGTGAAGCTTAGAACATGTGTGCATTGCAATACGACGTTTACAAGTGCTGTTAGCCTGTCCAACCACTTACGCGCTTATGCACGAAAGAAGAGTGCTGGACTTTTGACTGGTACAGGTATGTTTGAACAGATAACACAGCAAGTCTGTTTGATACAATACACTTTTTTTTTCTCACCAGACTGGTGCTAGTTCAGATGATATTTATAGCTTTCTTTTGTAAGCAGCAGTTGAGTCTGAATAAACATTAAATTTCAGCAACTTGTAAACTGTTGGATATAATTTTAAGCAAGTTATTCTTTTTCATTTAGCTCTTATGGCTTGATTTGAGGAAAAAGGTAACCTAATAGAGGTGTGGAACTTTTGAGTCTACATTATTCTTATTGATTTTTATATTATACCATTTTTGATTTTTAAATTTATTTTTGTTAGTAGATTCTAGTAAGACACCTCTCTTTGGTAAAAAAGATTGTAGTTCTAGCTTCGGGAAATGCTTTGTTAGGCAAAGAAATTATAGTGCAATTTCAAATATGTAACTAAATTAGAAAACTAAGCAAACTAATGAGTCTTCATTAGTCTATAGATCAACTTTTTGAAGGGGCAGGCCTTAATAATGGCCCATGTTGACAACTGAATAGATTTTTCTTTTAATGCCCCTAAGCAATATTTAGGATTAATAAATATAGCTGTGCACATAAATGTTAGCATGCACATTTCTGTGTTATTTTTGGTTGGTTAGCCCAACCTTGCAGATACCTCTTCATACTGCTAGCTTGTGAAAATTTTATTAGCTTACTCATATGTAACACTGCTTCTTAAACCCTACAGAACGCCTTGCTCTTTTCGTTTGTAGCCTTTCAAGCTACCCTGCTTTAGCAAATCCCATGTCTCACATCTTAAAATATTCTCTCTTTTCTAAATAGATCTACATAAAATTCTTTTGCCTAAAATTCTCCTTCCAGTCTTTTTATTTCTCTTGCTCTTTTAGATCACTTCCTTCTGCTTTCTTCTAGTTGTTGTTTACCCAGCTTTTTTGTTCTTCCTCATGTCTTCCTATGGCTTACATCCAATATGTTCTTGCCACCAAAGAAACACTTGTATTCACACTAGTGTCTTTCTTTCTTCTGCTTCTTTGCTGTATCCTTTGACTTTATATATCAGTAACCAGGGATGACTGCTGACCATTTATATTAAAAGGAGGGGAATAGAGTGAGTTTTACTTTACTGGATTAGTCCTCCTACTGTGACATTTCAGTTACTCCTGCCTTCATCAGTCTTGGAAGGTAATTGCAGACATTAGAGGCAGGGAGGCAGTGAAAATAAGACTGTAGAAGCCGGAAATCATCATTATTGTTACCATAACCACTAACTTGTATTGAACACTTGTATGCGTCAGGCACTATGCTGTGCAGCTGATATGCATAACACTTAATCTTCACGACCACCGTTTCAGTTGTAAGTACTATAATTCTTTGCATTTTATAGGAAACTAGAGCTTTAGAGAACTTAAGCAAGTTGTCCAAACTTATGCAGTTAATAGTAGCAAACTTGAAATTCAAATCAGGGCTGTCTTACCCCTAGATCTTTGTTTTTAGTCACTATTACCTACCACATACAGGATGAAAGCAATTGAAAATCCTAAGATGAAGTCGGGTTCAAGGTGAGGATCATTGTGGTGCAGAGTCTAATTTCAAAGAGCAAGGAGGGGAGAGTTCTCTGGTGGCCTGGTGGTTAGGATTCCAGGCTTTCACTCCTGTGGCCCAGGTTCAATCCCTGGTCGGGGAACTGAGATCCCGCAAGCTGTATGGCACGGCCAAAAAAAATAAGAAGGAAAGGAAAAAAAAAGGAAGGGCAGGGACCCAAGAAATGGTTAGGGCTGTATTAGATTTCAGAGGACTTTAGAAAATGTTCCATTCTGACCATTTGGGCACATTACATAAATATTCAATAAGGTAGATCTCTCCAGTCCAGTTTTTGTAGTCCATTAAAAAAAATGCCTTTATCTCATATGAAAATCCTTCAAAACATAGTATTAATTGCTTATAACTACAGATAATGACCCTCCATTGACCAGGGGTGCATTCTCATGAACTCTTTATCATCTAAAAAGTTTCATTAGTTGGGGAAAAAGTAATATAAGATGAATGGGGATACATTTTTATGGGCATCAGAAAAGGAGATGCTATGTTTAAAATGTTATTAAATACTAACAAAATATCAGAAGTGTTAGGAAATATGAAATGTGTGTTAGGCAGTCCTAGGGCAAAAAGAAGGGAAATGAAAAGCTGAAGAAAGTCTAGGGTGGTATTTTCCACAGCCCCTACTCACTTTTAAGAAACATAAAAATCACATGCTCTCTTGGAAATTCTGAAACTTTTCCCCTTGTTTTCAAAATCTTCTTGACCAGTAGAGCTACATAAAGGATAGTTTTGCTGGTTATTCATGGCAGTAAGAAGTTTTTATGGACTTTATTGTTTTCCAAGTGTAGAATTCTTTTTTTTTTTTTTTTTTT